GAGGGCCACGTTTCAGGATAAACTGCTTATCCTCAAACGCACAAGCTGCCCCACACATACCCTTAATCATAATTTAAACAATTTATTATTTTTTATAAAAGAGCTCTAATTCCATGTAACCAAGTTGAAAGGAGAACAATTTTTTTTTATATATATTTTTTGTAACATCTTACATGCATTTGATTTCTATGTTTAGTAAACCAATAATTTGTTCATATTGTTTAAAAAAAGGGGAACATCGTACATATGATCCAATTCGTATCAGTTTGTGCATTTAACACCTAAAGTTTACTTTTTTTACATTCCACCAAAATTGTTCATGTCACCACAAAAAAAAATCACATAGGAATTGAATGGTATATATGTAGATATATATATTTTTCTTTCTTTTTAATTAATCTATAATCTATATTAGTGGAGAAAACATTGACTCCAGAGTCCGGACACACAAATATTGCATCTAGAGTTCGGACATAGTTTTGTAAGGTGGGGATCCATTTTCACGAATTAAAAATATATACATATGAAAAAAGGTTTTTTTCGTGTGACTCGACTAAAAGACCGTCAATTGCATTGAATACTCGACACTCAAAACCAGAGGTAGACCTATGTAGAGTATACGGGGCAATTGCCACCCGCTTCAAATTTAAATTTTTTACTTATATGAGATGACAATTTGACATTTTGTCTCTCATGAAGTATCACTTTTGTCCCTCCTGTAATATTACTCTGCTCATTTGTTCCTCTAACTGCTCCCACATCCCTAATAAAAGACTAATTTTGTCGCTGCTTAGGAAAATATATGCCAAACAAAAACCATACCCGAATCTCTTTTTATGTAGGGGCTAAATATGCAAATAAATCAGAATTGTCTCACACTCAATTTATTCCTACATTTTTTTAGTCCCACGTAGGCGGGAAATATTTGCATACAGCCTTGGCACTATTTAAATACATGAAAATCTAACTTTAGCTAAAGGCCGGGAGGCCCATATCCATGTGGCCCGCGTGGCCTGGAACACAGGCCTTTTCAATCAACAAGACAAACGAGCAACTCATTACGGACAGGTATTCATAGGAATGGGCCGAACGCAAATAATATCTCACATATTCAGCCCATTTATACCCCAAAATACGAAGGCCTGTTTATTTTATAAATAGAGCCTAGATTTTTCCTTACGTTGACTTTTACTAGGCTTTGCGTGTACAAGTCAATAAGATGATGGGCTTTTGTCTGAAATTGCGGCGCCTTGGAAGGCCATTTACAAATAAATTAACATTAAATTACATCAAATATCATAATTTTACAAAAAAGACCCTATTATTTCTCATTAAATCACCCAAACCGTATGATAGATAAATAATATAATATATTGTTAGACATGTAAGAATTTAACCATACATAGATTGGATATGACATCATAAAATTATGTTTTCCAAAATGACGTTCATATAAACAAAGTTTCAATTTTCATTTATATTGTGCTCAGAGGGTGTATGTGATAAAAATTTTACCATATATACATATATACGTATTATCGTGTATCATGACTTATTGGTTGACATCCATTGTATGTGACCCTTCAGTTCGGGGATTTGAATCCCTTTTTGACATGGTTGGCCTTAAGAAGATGCTACTCGAATTGTTAGACACATTAGAGGTGGCTGAAAGCTCGTATAATAGCATCTGAACATTTCTTTGTATATAT